GCGCGTGCGTGCACTTCGTCCAATTTGTTGCAAGGGATTCGCGAAAGAGTTTAATGTTAGGACCGAACGTGTCCCCGCGTACTGTTTTGTTCCTGGGAACCTCAGGGGGACCGATCCCGGCCCCCCTGTGATAGTGCAAATGCAGATTTAGGGTGGGCATGTTGTCATAATCGTATATGATTAACATACCCGAAAGGGGGGCCGATAACGCCGGGGGGGGTAGAGTCTATTCTCTCTTTAGAAAGGAGAATCTATGTTTACAAACGACTTGACGAATTCCATGCTCGTGCAGACACCCCGCCCGCCCACCCGCACTTTGGTCTGCTAAACCCACGCGACGGCGATTGCGATGGGTGCCTGGCGTTGGCTGGTGCATCTCTGCGGCCGCGCTGGCCCGCGCGCGCTCGCGCGCGCAGCGGCCAGCTTGTCTGGCGCGACCGACGCGGCCGCGGCGGCGCTGGCAGCTGGGCACATCCCAGCGGGCGCCCTAGTGCAAGTCGGTGACTTGGGCAGGCGCGGCATCGCGGCGACGCCGGCGCGCGCGAGCGGCCATGCGGTAGTAGATGACGCGGGTTATGCCCCCCCCCGCACGCGCGCAAGGGCGTTCGAATGAACTCGACATGCGGCGCGAGAGACCGTTTGCCAAAAGTTTATGAACACGTTGAGAAACCAGGACCGCGAGCGCAGGATAAGTTTGAACACTGGGGTTGCACACCAATAGGTTTTTAGATGTTTTCGGGACACTCGATTTTAAAAGCCTTTCGACGCCAAGGTCTTGACGGATTATGGCATGCGCGCGCGACAACGCGCGCGCGCGTCGTCCCATTGGCTCTTGCGACAACACGCGCGCAAGGACGCTCGAGCGACATCGACACGCGCGCGCGAAAAGCCCGCTCGGTAGTATGGTGTGAACATGTTGACCAACCTTTGGTCTTGTAAAGAATTCCCATGAGCGCGGGCCCACGTTGTTTTTGTTTGTTTGTGTTTATGGCTTTTTGTTTGGAAATCCTTGTTGCGAAACCAAAGTTGTTCTAGTTGTTTCCATATGGTTTCGGGACGCTCGATGTTGAAAGCCGTATGTAATGTTTTGAAAGATGTCGGCATGCGCGCGCGACGACGCACGCGTGCGCACTGCGTCCCATCTGTTGCACGAGGTTTTTGGACATTGCCAATTAACATTTGAAATTGTGCGTGCGCATACCTTTTCTGTAGGGGATGAGAGAGGTGATCGAAATACTGCCTGGCTGGAAAGGTATTGCTTCATATCTAGGGTGGACGGTGGGGCATAATCATACGTGACCATGATCTCGGGCGCCATTATTGACGGACCGGGGTCCGACAAATACTGGGATATAACTATTTCGCCGCGGCACCCGCCGCACAACAACGACGACGACGACGAAATAAAGGAGGAGCTTGTGAGCAACGCCTTCGGCGACGAATGTGTCGATTTATATTGTAGTCCTCTAACAAGCGTGCTCAACATTTCTCTGTCGTACAGGGTATCCCAGGGAACTTTGCTCCCTCGAAAAAAGAACCCCCCAGCATTATCCAGCCCGCCCGATAATAGAGGGAACGCGAATCTCCGCCAAGAAGTTGACGACGATACGACTACGCCCACGGTTACGACCACGATTGCGACTACAACGACGATTACGATTACGACTACAATCGCAACTACAACCACGATTCTCATCACGATTGCAACCACGACTACAACAACAACTTGCAACCTCCATACGAAAAAATCATCAGTTCCTTTCGCATGTTTGGTAATCCACAAACGGATTCTTCCATGGGAGAAAGAGACCCCCAACATTATCCAGCCGCCCAACTATACAGGGAACACAGTTTCCGCTGCGACGACGACGAGGATAACGACTACAAGGAGGAGCAGGATGAGGACGAGGATGAGGAGCAGGAGGATCAGGAGGAGGAGGAGGAGGAGGAGGAGCAGGAGGATCAGCAGGAGGGGGAGGAGAAGGAGGAGGAGGAGGAGGACGACGAGGATGAGGAGGAGCAGGAAGAGGAGCAGGAGGAGGAGGAGGGGGGGAGTTGGAGGAGGAGGAAGAGGAAGAGGAGGAGGAGGAGCAGAATGAGGAGGAGAAGGATGATGGTGAGGAGGAGGATCAGGAGGGGGGTCGAGCTTGTTCCCCGCCGACAGAAGCAGGGGGGGGGATCAAAACTAAAGACCCTTCGAGATTGTTATGTCGCATGTCCGCTTGCATGTCTGTGTGCCCCGCGCCTGCGACCCCTGCCCTCCGTGCAAAGCTGCCGTCGCGCAACGGGTGGCGAACCCCACCGCAGTCACTCGCTGCTCCTCGTCCGGCGAGGGGTACACGGTACATCGCCGACGGGTCGGCGGCAGGCCCCCGACCGCGAAAACGCATGCCCTCGGGCGTGCTGGAGGACCCGGGCCCGACTGCGCGGCGAGGGGGCGACTGGGGGCCGAGGATGGGCCCGACCGGGCGCACGCCATAACACGGCCTGCGCATGCGCGGATCCGGCGCGTGGGCGCCAGGGCCCCGAGCCTCCCCCTGTCAGGAGGAGGAGGAGGAGGAGGAGGAGGAGGAGGAGGAGGAGGAGGAGGAGGAGCCTTCTCGTCACTCCGGGCCTCTGGAAGCAGCCTCGGGCCCGGGGGGCCATCAGAACACGACCCCAGGAAGGAGAGGCGGAGGTGGTCCAGGGGCCAAGGCCTGTGACGGGAGACAGATCGTCCCAGCGGGGGAGAGTGTGCCCCGATGGGGCGGCGGAGCGCGCCGCCCGCGTGTGCAAGCGTGGCCCATCGCCCGCGCGCGCGCGCGCCTCGGTCTGTGCTTTGCGTGTTCCCGCGGCCCAGGCACCGACCGGCGACGGTTGGGCGAGGCCCCCCCCCGGGCCAGCCTGCCATCCTGGGGCTTGGGCGCTGCTGCGTGGGGCCCGTGAGCTGCGCGCGGGCCCAGGGAACGCTGTCTGAGAGCCGCGCGCCAGTCTTGCAGGCGAGGTCTGGGCGAGGAGCAACCAGCAAGGGACTCCTAACTCTTCTGGGGCGCGCCAGAGTAAGAGGCCCGAGCCATCAGGGATAGGTGGTCTCTTTGTGCAGATGTATCCGACCAAACCACCCAGTTTGATTATCCCCGATGCAGAGACGAGGGCCCTGGGGAGGCCAACTCTCCGTTGTGCTATTCGGGCTGGGGGCTCTTGTGCTCTCGATGATGCTGTCGACGCCCGAAAGGGGCACGGGAAAAGTTGGCACGACGTCCAACAACAGATGTTGTCCAGAACCGACAGCGGCCGCTTGTTGGGCAGGCAGCCCTCTGTCTCAAATGGACTATGGCCCGCGGCGGCACCGACAGCGACTCCTGTGCAGAGTGGACAAGAACTGCTGTCGGTCTTCGCACACGCGACCCACCCGCGACCCATCCACATCAAGGAGGGACAAAAACACACAGACACAATTAATCGTCGATCCCCCGGAAAATATGGGGAAATATGGGAAGTGGGGGGGAAGACGAAAATCCAAAACATATGCAAAAATATGGGGAATAGTTTTATTTGTGTGTAATTATTTGTGTGTCCTGGGGCCCCTTCACACATTGCTTTAACAGAAAAGTCGGCGCCTGCGGCGGGCTCGTCGTATAACCTGTGAAGAGACTAGGCGCCCGCGGCGGTCTGCTTTTCAGAGCCTCGCAGGCTGCCGACCTCCTCGCCGCCCTCTCACTCTGATCTGCAACTGCGGGGTATTCATTCTTCCCGTACCCATTTCGATCGTACACGCGGTCCCGGGAAGTCCGGAATCTTTCCCCCCTGAGTTGTTGTTTGTCCCGGGGCTCGGTAAGGGCCCCCAGAGGCCGAAAATAGCGATTACACAAGAAAAACTATTAGTGGATGGTTTTCGATAAATGAATAAATGAGATCGACCGGGCACCCGGGAAACCGGAACACACCGAAATCGACTCGGAACCAAACACCAAGAACCCGGGGACCCGGAACCGGGAACCCGGGAATCCAGCCGGCTACCAAAATCGGCGGGAAACTTTCGCCAAATCTGTCAATTTCCGCTAGGACCCCTTCCCCAGACATCCGGCTGCTCCATTTTTTTGGTGCGTGGACCCAAAATATAAGGTTTGGACAACTTTCCCGGGACCTGTTTTTCGTCCTGAGTCGTTTTGTGACGCTCCCGAGGCCTGGCGAGGGCCCCTGGAGGCCGAAAACTGCCAAAAACCGCCCGCTCCAAGTTTTTGGGAGCGTCGGAGCTCAGGGTCAGTGCAAGCACTGATTGGGGACGAAACCTGCCGTCCTGATCTTTTCACGACGCGAAGGGCTCTGGGATGCCCTCCTCCGACGAGAGCCGCAGTGCGGCCCTGCCTCACCAGCCACGGCTGGGCAGACGCCCTGCGGAGCGCGCGTGCCCCGCGTCGACGCTCCCAACCTCCTTCCCTCCGCGCGGCCATCCTTCGCTGGGAGGAGGAGGAGGAGGAGGAGGAGGAGGAGGAGGAGGAGGAGGAGGAGGAGGAGGAGGAGGAGGAGGAGGAGGAGAGAGAGGAGGAGGAGGAGGCGGCGGACCGCGCGCGTCCACGCGCGGTGCCGCCCGGCCAGTCGGTCGGCGGACCAGGGGTCGGGGGGGGGGAGGAGGAGGAGGAGGAGGAGGGGGAGGAGGAGGAGGAGGAGGAGGAGGAGGGAGGAGGAGGAGGAGGAGGAGGAGGAGGAGGAGGAGGAGGAGGAGGAGGAGGAGGAGGAGGAGGAAGCGGGCCAGCGAAGATGTTTCCCAGGAGAGCCTCGAGAGATGGGCCCACAGGGGGTAGCCCAAGGCGGCCCCCCAAGAGGCCCCTGAGAGGGCCCCTGAGCGAGCTTCAAGAGGGCCTGACACCTCCACAGAGTCCGGGGGGGGGCAACAACGTCAGGCGCCCTTGTTGCTGATGCGCGTCGGCGACGACGAGGTCGGCGCCGAATTTGGCCCCAGGCTTGACCCCATCTCGTCAACTGTCAACAGCGTCAAGGGGTCGACCTCGGAGTTGTACACTCTGCGACTGCTGCAGTCCTGCCAACTGTCGTCCAGGCCCAAGTCGCAATATCCCAACTCACACAGGGAGGTCGGAACCCCGTCCACCTTCCAGTTCCGCTTCACCATGCCGTCCATGACCGCTTCCATGTTGCTCTGATTCACATTCCTCTGGATGCGCGAGAAAAGGGTGGATCGAGGATGGCGGCCTTCTGAAATGGCAGGTGGCGGGTGGCGTCTCAGGAGGGTTTGGAGGGTTCCAAGAAAGCTTCGGAGAAGGCAGGGCTTTCAAGGCTTTCAAGACCCCTCCCTGCACCCTGTCTGCTTCAGAAGAACACAGCAACAACCACACAAACATACACTGTCGGAGGTCCGTGCGGATTTCTCGGGTCGGCGCTGGGCAACTTGCTGGCGGCGTCGCCGGCGCCGCCAGCAAGGCGCGCTTCGCCCGCCGGGACAGGGGGCCCCAGCGCCGACGCGAGAAATCCGCGCAGATCTCCGGAGATGCGGTTGCAGTCGCCGTAGTACTATAAGGAACGCCAGAGCGAAGGAGGCTTTTCTGGCCATGGCGGGATGTAAGGATCGCCCTGAACACAATGGCCCCTCCTGAGCCCAAAGTGGGACTTATTCAAGCGCCATGACTGCAATCTTGATCCTCAGATGCGAAGGCCGACCCCTCCCCCCTGACCTCACCCCTCGTTGCCGCGTGGCGTGCTCCTGCCGTACAGATTCCACGAGCGCCAGCCCATCGGCGGGGTGATGGCGAGGCCATTGTCGGCGCCTGCGACGACGTCGACCCCGACCCCGGACATCCGACGGTGAAATTCCTGAAGTCCGCGGGCACGAGGTCTCGACCCTTCCTTCCTCTGGGGGGCGCTTTCCCGCAGAGTTATATATATATACATATATACATATATGTATATGTAATATGTGTATATATATATATATTAAAAAATGGGCCCGGGGCACGAAGAGCGGCGCCAAACTCTTACAACAGTTCCGACGCCGGAAATGTGAGGACGACGACGGCCCATATGTTCGACGTCGCAGTGAAACAACACCATCGAGAATCGCGCGGGGTCGGGCACGCGAGCGCCACAGCATGCTCGCGAGTACCAGAGCGTGCTCGTCGGCACCACAGCATGCTGCGTGTGAGCACCGCGCCATGCCTAATGCGGGATGGCGCTAAAGAAAAAAATGGGAGAGAACGATTGAAAAGTAGTTTCTGCTATTTCTGCACAGTTTTCCGACTGGAGGAGAAAGATTTATACATAGATTTCCAGCCCGCGGCCGGTTTTTTCTAATCGACATCCCGGGCGCCGCCGCGTGAACACGACCCCCGGTCATTTAGTAATCGTCATCCTCCATTATGGGGGAACCCGCCCCCCTCCCCCCCTCACGCGTGCGCTCGGTACCGTCTCGCGGGGTGGGAGACCCCCCGTGACGGATGTCGCGGGTTCACCGACTCAGAAAACAAGATCTTCCGGGCAGACCACGAGATACCACCGCGGAGAGGGGGGGGGACGTGCACCAATTCCGTCGTCCGGCCGAGGCAGCTGCGTCGCGACGCCCGAGCGCGCGCGCCAGCAGGGCCCCTCGGTCGGTGCCAGGGGTCGCACCCCCCCCTCCCCCCCCCACTGTGCCAGGGCCCCCCGAGCAGGGCGACGAGATCCCACCGCGGAGGGAGGCGGTGAGCGTGCGCAGATCCCGCTGCCACAGCCGATCCAGTCCCCCGACGTCATGATGTTTTTACAACGACGACCCTCAGAGGTCTCGACCCTCCCCGGGACCGGCTTCTCATCCTGAGCCGTTTTTTGAACTCCTCCTCCTCGTCGTCCTCGCATTTCTGGCACTTCTCGCTCCGAGCAGCGTCTCACAGGCGCCCGGAGCGCGGGGCGCACCGCAGCAGACCACAAGGGCCGCGTGGGCACTCAAACGACGGCCCCAGGAACCCGACCTCGAGGAAACGAAGGGGGGAACCAAGGACCACGCATTACCTCGGAGGATGGGGTTTTAAAGAGAGCCCGGGGGCGGAAAGGAGGGGGAGGGGGGAGGGGGAGGGGGAGGAGGAGGAGGAGCAGGGAGGAGCAGGGAGGAGGAGGAGGAGGAGGAGGAGGAGGAGGAAAAGGAGGATCGGGCGCCGCGCGCGCCCGCGCCCGCAGGGCGCCAGCCTGCGCGGGTCCCGCGGCAATCGGCCTGGCCATCGGCCTCTTCGTGGGCCGCCTCGGCCAGGCTGGCCGCTCGGCGGCGGTTGGGCTCCCTTCGGCGCATCGCGCTGATCCCAGCCGCTGATGGGGCCGGCTGTCGTCTTCCTCTTCGGCTTGCTGCCTCCTTGTCTTCTCCTGCATGTTCGTCTTGAGAAGGCCAGACGGGTGTGGTCTGGCCTTCTGCGTCCTCTGGTTGGTGATGTCGGGCGGCTGTGGCGTCTCGCCACCTTTCTCGCGCGCTGCCGTGCACAGTTACTTCGTTTCTGCTCATCTTCAGTTTTGGCTGGTTTGTCGGTGCGGTGGGTCGGCACTTTGCTGGGTACAATGGTGCGTGGCTGTGGGGCGCACTTAATTCGCCTCCATGCGCCGACTTCAGGTGGGAGTCATGGCGGTCCAACCTCGTCCCACTATGGCTAGGGGTCACTGTGCCCTCGGTGGGGGGCGAACCCCAGGCCTGGTGCTAGAGTCAGTCGAGGTGGGCTTGGTCGCGCTTGCCCTATGCTCCGCCTCGTCGGCGTTCGTGCGAGCTCCTCCTCCTCCTCCTCCGTAGTGGGAATGATGGGGGTGGCGCGCTAGGGCGGACCGTCCTCCCTCGCAGGCGCAGGCAGTGCTCGCCCTGCCCCCCCGCCCGTCGAGCCCGTCTCGAAGTTCAGTCCTTGCTTCGCCAGGGCAGCGGCGATTTGATCTCGTTGTTGTTGCTTGGGGCTGTCGTCTGGGTGTGCTGGAGCTGTTCGTACGGATCGTTGCCGGTCGTTGCTGCCGGTCGTTAGTGGGCGCAGCTGGAGGTCGCGTACATTTGCTGGTCGCTGTGGGTGCTCTCGTGGAGTATAGCGCGACGGCAGATTGCATGGAGATGGATGGTCGTCGTCGTGCTTACCCTGCTTGCACACTGCATTGTGTGCGGTGGGACCTCGTGCGTCTCCTCAAGCGTTCTCTTATGTCCTGCTCCACGGGGCGACTTGTGCCTGAGGTGTTCCCACGCATTCGGGGCTTCCCCAGGACTTTGCGTCATTGCGCCTCCAGCTCCACGTGGCGACACTTGCCTGAGGTGTTCCCGCGCATTCGGGGCTTCCTCAGGACATTGCGTCCTAGCGCCAATGGGAATCGGATGGTGAGGTCGATAGTCGTCCTGGGTCGTCTGGTGTCGGGGGTGGTGTAGCGTCGCCTCTGCGGGGGTTGATGTGTGAGGAATTAAAGTGGGCAGGTTGGCTACGGGTTCAGGTTTTCCGCTCCAGCCCGCACGGCCTGACTGAACAAGGGCTTAAGTGCACAGGTACAGGGAGCATGACGTCAGCATCGCAGCCATAGGGGCGTGGTTTGGGCTGTGGTTGCGGCATTGGTTGGTCCCAGGTGTAGTTGGCAGGTTGGGTGGCGTAGCGATGGTTGTAGGGCCGTTGCTGGACGCGCTGGTCGTAGTGGTGTTGCATGGTTGTGTGGGCGGCGCTGCCGGTGCGGATCGCACTGTCAATGATGGTCCTGGTCCTGCTAGCGACTTCGGGCGCCCCAGTCCCTGTGGCAGTCGTGGCCGAGCGCCTCGGGTTCTGCGCAGTGGTCTAGTGGTGCGTAGAAATTGTAGTGCTCCTCGTCGGTCGCAGCCCAAAGCGTCTTGTCGCCTGCCAGCTGTCCCCATCTCGCTGCGAAGGCCGCCGCCATGGGCCTGCGCACTCTCGACGGATACTCTGTGGTGGGGCTGTCTTCCATCCGCCTCCTTCGTCGCGTCCGTAGGCTCGGTCATGTCTGCGGTGCCTCCAGGTCTGCCCGCCAGGTACTGCGCGTAGCTCTTACCGTGGTTCGCGTAGGTGCGCCGCTAGTAAGCATGTGGGTTTCTGCGCTGTCTGCCCGGACTGGCACTGGTCGATGTAATGGAGTTCTACGTCTTGTTGATCCAGTAGGTCTCCGTTCTACGCCAGCTGCTCGGTGCTAGCAGGCACCAGGTGGCAGGAGCTGGGTGTTCGGGCATGGCTGATACTTCGTATTGCAGACCCGCCGTGATGAGCAATACGGCCGTTCTGTAGAGATCGCTGCCCTGCGCGACCTGCTGCATTTCCGCCTGGCTGGCTGCTTGAACACCCCGCGGATATCAGTGGGTCCTCAAGAGTCGCGGGGTCTTTCCCTAAAGGGTATGCCATCTTGAAGAACGCCACGTTTCGTAATGTGGTCCTGCGACTACGCCGAAGATCTTGCCAACCCGAATCGCGTTAGACCAGAAAACCAGCGCGTCCTGCTTGGCGAGGTCGCCTTTGACGGGGTCGGTCTGGGAGCGCGCCAGCACGTTGCAGCAGGCGGCGTGCATCTCGAAGTGGCGCTCGAAGTCCTCCACGCGCCTGCTGCCTGAGAAGCGGTGCAGCAAGAACATAGCCGTCGTGGCCAACGGCCTGCATGTGGTGAAAGTTGTTGGTGCTGGCGCCAATGGCTCGATACTGGCAGCTGGTGGTGGAATCGGTGAAGACGGCAGCTGGTCTGGGTCAATGAGGTCGGCGAGCTTCAGGCGGAGCACTTGTTGAACTGGTAAGAGTGCCTTGGTCGCTCCGTGTCCTCGTGCCTTCCTCGCAGCCACCTGGAATTGTTCCTCGCCCCGTCGGTCGGCCGCCGCTTATGGGTCCACCGGCTGCTCTGATGTTTGGAGGGCTACAAGACACTTGGGGCATCTTCTGAGGTGCTTGACGATGCGGGATCTTGCGATGAAATCTTTGCCGCGCCCAGGGCATGTGGCAAGTCTGGCCAAGCGCCCCGCTAAGTCGCAGCCCGCGCGCTCCATGGTGACATTCCGCTTCCACGCGCCCTTGGTCTTCAGACCCCTGCCGCGCTCGTAGGAGACGACTGACGGGCTTCAACTGGTCTGCCTTCGAACTTGGGCTTGGCGAGGCCGTCCTCGCGAGCCGTGTGGCGGGGTTGCCGATGCCAGTCTCGGTGTCGGCATGCGTCGTGCTGCCACTGCCGGTATCTGACCATGCTCGTGATATGACTGCTTGTGCTGCGCATTCTGGCCGGCTTCGTGCCCATTGGGCGAATTCGCGCAGGTCGGCCCCGATCCCCTCTTCTTCCCGAAGGAATCGCCTGAGCCACTCTGTGGTTTCCTCTATCTGGGTATTCGAAGCTTTTGGATCACCCCTCTGCTCGTCTATCAGACTGCGCGCAGGCACGGCGCGTCAGCATGCAACATCCTCACAAAGTAGTGCAGTCGTCGCCTCCTGATGGACATTTCGGTCAGGACATCTTCGCACTTGAGGTATGTTCCTTCGTCGGTTGAATTGGTTGTCGGATTGTGCGTGTGATTGTTGTCTCGCTGCTACTCTTAGGCTTGCCATGTGTCGGCTCTGTACTTGCTGGCGTTGTTGCACTGTGAGCGGCCAGCATACTGCGTAGGTGAGCATGCTGCAGGCCAGCGCCGCAAGGTATGGGGTCTTGGCCTTGATGTGCACCTGCTGTAGACGAGGGG